TTACCATGTGAGAAGTAAATGAATTGAACTAAATGGTTTCTAATGCCCTGTCAACCTCTAAAATTCTATGAAACTTGATTTGATTCCAATGGGCCATAGCAGGACTTGGCACTAGTTTCATCAGTGAACCATATGGTTAGAAATTTATTTTTCCAAATGATATTAGTAAATATTTAAGGAGTCTCCTACCTCAGAGCTTCTTGTACAAGTTGAAACAAGACAGTAGAAGGTTTTCAGGTTGGTGAAGTAAACTTTGGCTTTTAGGCAACCATTCCAAAAACTATTTTCTTTAGAATCCAAGGGCTTGAAATTGTTCTGAATAAAGGATATAGATGCTTTTATGATTTATTAAATAAAAAGAGTACTAAATATATAATTTTAAAAATGTGTCAAAATGCTTTTGTATTTATTATTTCATTTTTTTACCTTGATAATTTTTCAAAAGAAATCTACACTGGAAACCTGATATCCTAGGCTTTGTATCCATTATATGATTTACCTGTAAGGAGCAGATTACATGTCTTTGAGTCAACTCACTTATATGATGCCTCTCTCTTGTGAGCATTTAAATTTCTTTTTCAAAAAGTTCCTTGGGAAAAGTTAGTCCTCAAATAGTCAAGTCATAGTTATAAAAAGAAAAATGAATTACATACCCAAACACAATCTTGAGATTTAACAGCCTTTGTAAGCAGCAATTTTATTTCCATTCACAGAGTTTTAATCACTGGTACATCCTACTCAAAACTATACATTGGGGATTAAATATTATTTGAAGCATTACCATGACATTTGCAAAAGCAAACATACTGGACTAAAAAGAAATATACTTGTGAGAAGAAAAAAATGTTCAGCTATCTTACATTGCCTTGAGATTTTATTAAAGATCCTTACAATATTGTGACACATTGAGGACATGTCTAAAAACTTCAAAATGTTAGGAAGTTTCAATTTAATAGTTTGACTCTGTCTGGACGGAACATCATTGCCTGGGGATCAAACAAATAATTGTGCAGGTATCCATCATGAGGATGAATAGAAATGTTTAACAACCAAAATAATTGGTCAATTCAGTCACTGTATACTATCAGTCTCCTATTTCTCAATTTTTTTTAAATAAAGCACTGGCAAAATTAAATTTAATTGTTTTGCCAGCAGATACATATGGAACATCTGCTGTGTGCTTTTTACCTGTGGAACATTTCATAGGTTAAGATATAGCATCTCTCTGTGGTGTTTTTCGGGGTTTTTTTGTTTTGTTTTGTTTTGTTTTGTTCTGTTTTTTTAAGACAGAGTCTCCCTCTGTTGCCCAGGCTGGAGTGCAGTGACGCAATCTCAGCTCACTGCAACCTCAGCCTCCTGGGTTCAAGCAATTCTCCTGCCTCAATCTCCTGAGTAGCTGGGACTACAGGCATGTGCCACCACGCCAGGCTGGTTGTTTTGTATTTTTAGTAGCAACAGAGGTTTCACCATATTGGCCAGGCTGGTCTCAAACTCCTGAACTCAAGATCTGCCTGCCTCAGCCTCCTAGAGTGTTGGGATTACAGGTATGGGCCACCGAGACTGGCCAGTGGTTTTTAATACAGCAGGAGAGGTCACATGTAAACACATGAACCGATTCCTCCAGCTTTTTTCCTATCACCTTAGTCCAAAGCACCATCATCTCCTCCCTAGATTTATGCATGTCCTGTTTCTTCATTTCCCCTTTTATGATATTTTTTCTACAAGAAGTCAGTGATCATCCATTACATTTAAAATAAAACCCAAACAGTTTAGCATAAGAGGAGGAGAAGGGGGAGGAGGAAAAGAAATCATGCTATTTTCCCTATTCCATAATTTTCAAATTTCTCCCCAGTCTGACCCTGTCTCTCTTACACGTCTCCTGCCACTTTTCACCTTGTCCAGGCTGCAGTCTATGTTTTTCTACCATAGTTAAGGCCAACAGATAAGGAGTAGGTGTCCTTATCTGTCTTGCTCTTCGTATCTGCATTGTTTAGACAAATGTCAGGCATGTAGGAAGCATATAATAAATATTTGTTTAAAATAGTAAAGTAAAAGAGCATTATGTCCTTTCTATATATTGGTAGGCTAAATTTGCAAATGGTTTACAGACATTAAAGAACAGAACAATCTTTTATAAAATAGTAATATATAACAAGTACAAAAATAAATTAATTTTTTAAAATATGTGGGACAGGAGGCAGAAGGTAGACCTCATCGGAGGTTAAGACTTGAAATAGATTTAAAACAATAATCTGAATTTTAATAGGTGAACAAGAGAGATGAAGTAAAGCATTCTAGCGCAGTACAAACCCAAATGTGAGCCAGGAGTGGGAGTAGCTGTGTGAATATGGTTGGAAGGGGACATTAAGGCCAAACTGATAAACTCAAGCATTCAGATTAAGGAAGACTGGCAACTAAGTGTGGGTAAGAAAAAGATTTTGGCAGATCAGCAGAGGAGATTATAATTGATTAAGTAGGAAAGCAAAATGGATAAAATATTTTTGAGGAGATTGCCATCATGACAAAAGTGATGTTTTAGGAATATTCATCCTCCAGCACATGGAAGGTGGAATAAAGGAGGTAAATAACTCTAGTCTGGAATAGCTGCTGGCCAATATCAATCTTTGAGAATAAGGTGACAAGGTGAGAGCCATAGTATAAAGTGACAAAGATAGTGGGAGAAAAGGGACCAAATAATAGAGGCCAAAAACAAACGATGGTGTGAATTTGGGTATGCAAGAAGGGAGAGAGTGAGTCAAAGCTAATAAGACATAACGTGCACTAGAAAACGCCCTTTTCAGCAGGAGACTGGAGACACAGGAAGCCACATTGCTAAAGGTCAATCTTCTACACCTCAAATGTAAAGTTTACCCATGTGCCTTAATTTTCTGTATCTTTCTCAGTATTAGAACAAATTTAAAATATGTCATTCTAGAATCCTATTGTTAGAATGTGGCTCTTTCAAAGTCTCTCAATGAGTTATACATGTATATTTATTGCTTTCTTATTAATCAATCAATCAATCAAGTGTTTCAATAGAATGTATAGGCTGTGTGTGATGAACATCCATTATGGTGTCTTTCAAACACCTCTTCTGTGCCTACTCCATTCACAGAAGTAGATCTGGTGGGGAATACCCCATTGGACACTGACATGGGCACCTGGTTTAAGCTGGTCCAATTAGAACCTGGCCTTGAGAATTTTAACCCAGCAGACAATAGGGAAAAAGGACAGATGCCTGTTCCATACAGAACTCTACAGAAAAAAATCCGTGACTTTGGAGTAGTTTTGTCTTCATCCTTTCAAGTGCTTCATTGTTCAAGTCTTTTTTCATTCCTTTTGTCCTTTTTTATCATCTTCTAGTTTCTATTGTATACAACTCAAAGAAATTTAATTAGTACCTAACATAATATACTTACAAAACTTGTATCAAAGGCAGATGCAGATATTTCTAGTGGAACTGGGAAATGAGAGCAGAACAAATGCAACTGCAGAGCTTGGAAAGAAAGCTTGCACATTAATGAAACCCTTTGCAAAACTTATCTAAAAGAGGCAAGCAACATTTGACACAAAACACAGGATTAGGCTTCTGTTTGTCTTTGTCTTCTCAGGAGACTGATATTTTTGGTAGGAGGTTTTCCTATATTTTCCCAATTTACCATTTCCTTCGTCAAAGAAATAAAAACATTTAAATTTGGAGGATATATGAACATATGAACTTTGGTTTCATTTTAAAAAGATAGAAGGGCATAAAATCTAAATTGCCAAAAATAAAATGTAAGTTAAGACATAACAGTTTAAATAGTGATGCCAGCTTCCCCTGATAACTAGGATTCTAACAGCACAAATGCTTAGCAGGGTTAAGACACCCATTCTCTTATGGATGGAGAGAATATGAAAATAGCAGAGCCTGTTTTTGTAAGTGGCACTCAAGGATGTTTCTACTCACCCAGTATAATCCTTCAGTTCATGAACTAAAATACTTTTTTATTATGGTCAATTGGTTTTGTGTTCACGTTACTTTGGAATATCTTATGAGATGCTTACAGAAGTAGGCCTAAGAAAAACTGGGCCTAAATTGATTGATTTTAAAATAAGAATCAACAGGGTGGTAGGTGTTGGTATAGTCTTTGATTTATTCAAAATATTTCTTATGCTGCCAGGTATCATGCTAACAAAGTAAATTCATAGACTATTTGCTTGTTTGTTTGTTTGTTTGTTTTAAGGATTTGGTTCCTGCTTGCATAAATCTTGCTCTGATAGAAAGGCAAACATTGGGCCAAAAATCGTATAATAACATGATTATAAACTGTGACAAGTAAACTGAAAGAAGAAACTGACAGAAATATAATTTAGTTAGGAAAGCCTCTCTGAGGATGTCTAGATGAGTGTGAAAGAATGACTGCATCTCAGCCAAGAAATGAGGAGAAATGGGATGGGTTTGGAGTCAGGGAAAGGGCATTCTGGAAAAAGTGAAAAACTTGTACTAAGGTTTATGGCAGGAAAGAACTCAGTACTCTTAAATAAATGAAAGGGGCCAGAGGGCTGGAGCCTAGTGAAGGAGGGGTGGCATACAATTGGAGGAGGCTGGAAAACTGGGGAAGACAAGATGACATAGGTCCTTACAGGGTGGGTTAGGGATTTGGGATTTTATCTTGAGTGCAACAGAAAGCACATCATTGAAACGCTGGAAAGACTATTCAGCCTGCTGTGTTGAGAATGGGTTGTTGCAATGAATTAACAATAGAAGCAGGGAGACCAGTTTGAAGGTCAAGGCAGTAGTCAAGGGACAGATGAGATGCTATCAATGGAGCAGTGACTG